AACGTTAGACTGAGTTCATTTCCTGATATACTATCCTTTGGATGGGTGCCCTTCCTCTTCGCCCCTTTCAAGAAAGGACGAGTTTAGCGGCTTTGTAGTACCTGATAACATTCAAAATTGATCGCGTTGATTGTAAATGCAATGAGTTCGTATGCACGAATACTTGACACGTTGCTCTGAAGCGACTAGAATCTCGTTCAAACGTCCTCTTTCTACCTTACCCTTGTCCAACCTTAGCACTGCCTCACTCGAAGAAGGGGAAGCTCGTCAAATATGAAGCTCTCCTTTGACACTATCGCATTGAGACCTAAAGTAAGGGCAAGGACATGCTTGCCCAGCTGCGAAATTGCAATTTCTACAGAAAAAGAAGTTTCTTTCGCTTTTAATTTTGGATGATGTGATCGACCGTTGTAATACTTCTATGTAAAGAAAAACGTTAACAACATTACTTTCACCTCCTTCTCCATGTCTCCCAACCCCTTCCTTTGATCGTTGTCCGTGGTCGTAAACTACAAAAAAGCAAAAGAAGCGAGCACTAATACGGGGGAGTTGTCCATGGACCCAATGTGGGACACTATTGTTGCAGAGAGGAACGGGATGTCTTAATGAAAGATTCCTCTCAGTACCATGACTGTCCCTGTTTTCAGATTCGTCCACACCAAAGTACTCTCTATGTCCACAATTCGGGTTTATCAAGTACATCAAGGTCTGTAAGAGAAGATCTGAACGATTATCTGGAAATTATCCAATCAAGAGAGAGTGTAGCAAAACGCCCAAAAAACTGCCTTGTAATCACTCAGATTGCACTCACTAGAGGAGAAAGGACAGGCCATTCCTCAGAAATGGCTTCCCATCTGGCTTATCGGTCCTCCTGCTTTCAGCGAATCTAATGGGAAAGAGTTTTTAAGCTTGATGCAGTCCAGATTCTCGGCTTTCGTCTCCCTCACCATCCCGAATGACCACTTTTTATATGTATTCTGCCCCTCTTAGATATTGTAAAGTTGATTGCTGTCACCTGTATCTTTCAGCTATTGTTTTATCGTGTTATCACAAGATATTTCATCGCTGTGAGTCAAATACATCCGTGTTCCAGGATTAAAGACATCTTGAAGCAAAATGAATACACTGAGTCATAGATCGGCTTACGCTCATATATAGCTGCATAAAGCTTCGTCGTTTTCGAGATTTTCGAAGACTGTTACGATACGGAACGGTGGTCAAGTCCGTGGCTTGGCAGGTCAGTATCATACGTTATCACTTTTTATCAGATTGAATGTGAAGATAGTAGTGCGAACGGAGTTCGAAAATTGTGGTCGTAAGTTTAAGTACTGTACGAAGTCGGATATTTTTCCTTTGATTTTGTTCTCTTGTGATCATTCTACGTAGGCTGCCTTTTATATTTCGGGATTTGGGAGCAGGAACAAATACTATTTATTGAAAATCGCTTGACTGCCTTTTAAAACTCTCCACATTAAGATCTATACACTTTTGTATGGGTTCGAACCAATTTTTGAAGCACTTTTGCCACTCTGATGACCTGTCAAATCGTTGTTTTGAGTGCTCAAAAATGCGGTTGTTTGAGCCGATGTGTTGGAGCTCGCATTGACGTGGCGTGGGATCCAACGCCAACAAATTTTTTTACAGTCAAATGTTCATGCAAAAATGAATGTAAGCTAGTCCCACTAATGCTTAAGGTTGCCTCAATCTCACGATAGGTTACATGACGTTCTCGCAGTATTAGTTTGTGCACAGCATGAACTGTTTCCGGAACGACAACTGATTTTGGACGACCTCCACGAAATTCGTCTTCGAGTGAACTACGACCTCGGGTGAACTCACTGGACCATCGATAAGCACTGATCCTGGATGGAGCTTCATTCCCAAAAATNCTTCATCCCCAAAAATTGAACCAAGTTCATCCATGCATTGCCGTTGAGTTAGTCCACGTCGAAAGTTGTCGCGCGAAAATGCCCACGGTACAACCCCATAACTTGGCCGAAACAAAATTTTACAACTTAGTGTAAACAACACAAATCGCGCTCAAATTTTGCAACGGAACCTCAAAATAGTCAAACTTTACGAAAGTGGTGTCAGTTGCTAGATTGCTACACTAGTGTTTTCAAATCCCGAAATATAAAAGGCATCCCTCGTAGTATGACGAGCTTTCCTCAATGCTGGATTATTCTTCACAACCTCGTATATTCTGCTTAGTACCTAGATAAGTAGGATCTATATGAGCTTTCAAATCTAACATGTGTTTTTATCATATCTCATCTATCATATGTTAATCAGCAGGTTATGAAAAGCCTATAAGTCCGATCATAGCCAATGATCTAGTGAAATTTCACTCAATGGGTGTACCCATCAGTTGTTTTACCCATTTGTCACTTCCAGTGCTTTGCAAGGGAGTGCAGGAGCAGGTGTGTAATCGTAGTGTGCTTTTTTTTAGCATGAATATTCCATGGTGCTATTCTTTGATACTGTAAACTTTTTTTCAAGTAGCTCTCCTTCTGGGGCTTCTTTGCTCTTTGAACCAGACTCCATCAACAGTAGATCTCATTGTTTGCTTGGTTCTCACAGAAATGCAAAAAGACGTCAAGCTGAAAGCCATTGTGACAAATCTCACATCTCTCACGTTGATCAGATTTCATTCAAACGCTTCATGATAGATTCATTATTGCTGGCTTAGGCGGATGCTCTCTTGGTCTCAAGATCATTACTTTCTTTCTAAGTGATAGGTGATAAGATGTTCAGTGATTTCTAAGAAACTTTCCCCTCTTTATTATCAACTCTTGATAAGCAGCAGAACTGCAACTGTAATCAAGTAATGGCAGAAAAATGCCGAGATTCATGAAAAGTCGAAGTCCTTCGCACAGCTACTCGCACCAGGACTAACATGTGCAATGAGACACAAAGTGTAGCTCGTCCAAACGCTCCATTCTTCTTCATTTTTCTGGTCTCATTGTCGTCCATCCCCCTTTTTAACGATTTTTCGTAGCCTTCCTTCACTTTGGAAGCACCGGTTCATGCAGTTCATCGTGCTATTTTCCATCTCATCTTCATTTTTTTTGTAAAGGGTTCGCGGTGCGTTTGCCCCTTTTGGGTTTCCGTCTCGGATCCCCTTTTTAGATGTCTAGGGACAAGGTCCCATTCTTATGGCTCGGTAGAGAATAGTGACTCACACTTTATTCTACTTCGGTAAGTAGCAGCACAGAAGTGGGCGATTGATCAGCAGAATCCTCTGACGAAATAGATAGATCCAAAAAGTCATTCTAGGAGATGTCACCGGTATTTATATCTGTGAGCCTGTAAAAGTGGAGATTACAGAGATAGGTCGAGTACAAGAGAGAAAGATATCCATATAAACACAGATCAAAAGAGGGCTCTGGCCGGCAGCTTCGCGCGCGCGGGAAATCTGTCTTGGTAGTTGCGAAACTTGAGTTGTGGGAAACAAGAGGTAATAGGCAGATATGCAACAGATAGTATAACAAAGCGAATAATGATACACAACAGTAGAAGTATGCTTACAACTTTACATTGTGTTTACATTCTATACATATTTAAATTTTGTCATAATCTGGATTCCCTGAAATTATCGTGAACTGTGCCTTTAAGACATCAGAGTAGAGAGGGCTGTAAAGTACAGCAATGGTGCAATCCTGACTAGTGAGTTCAGGCATGGATGGAAAATACTGTTCGACAGGTCCTTATTAGAAAAATTCCACCGTGAAGACAATTCTCAGGTCTCAGGAAGAGTTGGAGCAGCTCATCACATCTCAACTCTCAAGCAAGCGGAGATGCGATGGGCTGTTCCAGCTGACGTGGGAGTAGGCTAACTTCACCCACGATGATCAGTTGACTCAAGGTTGAGGGAACTGGCAATCGGTTGACTCAAGGTTGAGGGAACTGGCAATCGGTTGACTCAAGATTGAGGGAACTGGTCCCAATTCCAGCGGAGCAGCACGGCTTCATGCCGAAAGGTCTATAATGAATGCCATCTTCATAGTTAGACAAGTGATGGAGAATTATCAAAAAAAGCGTAGACCCTGCTGACCAGCCTGTCACGATATGGAGAAGACGTTCTACCGTTAACCTCGACCAGTCCTCTGAGGATCGCTACGAGAAGTACCGGAAGGCTTGATCTTCTTGACCAACTACATGTACGATGGGTCTAATTGTCAGACAAACATCCGCACCCCTCCACGGTCTAACAACGTTCATCGACTTCACCGTTGGGGTAAATGAAGGATCAACCCTAAGCCGAATTCCCTTCCTTCTAACATTGAACTTACAACTAACGTTCCCCTAATTTTAGTTCTTTTTTTGAGACCCTTTATTTCTCTGCATACGCCAATTTTCACATATTGCTCTGCATACGCCGATTTTCACCCTTCGCCACTTCGCACTGTTTCTATCGTTTCCGTCGGATTGTTTGTCTGAAATTACTCAGATACTCCAAAATTATCGTGAATAGGCTTTTGATAGCTTCCCCAAAAACCAAGTATTGTGTGTTCACTCCATTATATCATTTTCATGGTGAAGCCCCTTACGACTAACCATCCCCAAATGGACGATCTTCTATTGTAAATGGTTCTGTCTTATTCTGTCCCATCCTTTCATTAGTCATCAGTCCTTGGTCAATCTCGATACACTCTTCAACGGGAAATGTTGTCAATGTATTCCATACTTCCTCCCATGGTCAAGAAATAGCATTGAGATAGGTGAGCATCTTGCTTTAGATTACTATATATAAACCTCGCAGAAGAGGGAAGAATCACCGTACAGTCCATATGATTGGTTTTCAGCTATTCCACCTAACCGCATTTTTACACCTTAAAAATGCTCTGCATCGATACCACCTCTTTAGCGGTTGCAAAATCATCTTTTTCAGCAGTTTTCACAGGGTCCTAGCCATCATGCGAGTACTTTACTTCGCTCTTTGCATTTTGATGGTCATCGTCCCTTCCGCACAGGTAAAAATATTGCTTATGTGATGGTTCTGACGGTATTTTCATCCGTATTCTCAGTAGCTCGTGTAGACTCTTGCCATAATCCCTGCGTTCTCTGAGAGCAAGACGCTCATTACCCAGGGAACGATGAGATGACTACAATCATAGAAACCCCCTCAGCTCCCATCAGAGACTATCCAAAGGCATACTTCACGCTTGAGATGGTTTTGAGATCTCTCCCTTTTATAACCTGTGACGCCCAAAAATAGCCCAAGGAGCGTTGTCGAATCGGAACTGCCAATATAGGGCGTAATAAGGGCCCCAGAACCGCAGCAGGACCCATACCTCGCAGCGTATTGCAGAGCGCAATGGCGTGGACATTTGAATAAGTCGTCCAAACATCCCTCTGTCGTCACAATCTCGTCCAACCTCTGATTTCACTACTTCTTTGGACACTATTATTCCTCTGAATGCACGATTTTCACGCCTCCTTCGTCTTCTTTGTACTATTTTGGACTACCACTTCCATTAATCTTCTACAACTAGTTATCCCGAAATTATCGTAAACTGTGCCTCTATAGATTTAGTGAAAAGGGTTGGCCAGGGTAGAACATCGTCTATCGACTGTCTTGCCACGCGGGCGAGTTGTTGAAAGTTCAAACTTGGGTATTGAACCTTTATTAACAAAAATGAGAAAACAAGAACTCCAACGGTAAGTAACGACTAACACCAAAGAAGATGAGGTCATTAGGAGATCATAAAAAGCTCTTCATAGCCATCCCTCTCTCCTCTTGGAGACTCAGTTTATGCAATCTTGAACAAAGATTCTGATCTATACCTCTGCTTGGGATCATGGCTATGCTTCTGCTTCCTTTCAGGTATGTCAGGACGATCCAGGATGGGGAACTAGGTGTAAACTTGGAAGGAAACATTGCCACTCTACTGTAGGAACGGAAAAGGTGAAGGCCATCAAGAAGCACTGCGCGAAGACATGTGGTTATTGTTAAACATAAGTGGGAACAAAAAATTTCCAAATAAACTGTCGTGAAAATTGTTCCCGTCGGGTTTTCAGGTTGAAAACATGAATGTTTCTAACCCTACATAAAGACCAGTTGAACAGTTTTCCTCTGGAATGCAACACAATCTATGAGGCAACCACCCTTCAGACCTATTTATTAAATTGTCCTCTAGCCAACCGCTTCTGAACTTCCAAAGGCCTTGACAGCTTTAGATGGGCTGGATGGGCAGAGATGCGTAATCACTGGAAGATGGATTCAGTTCGAAACATTTATTGGCATGAGGCAAATTCTTCTTCGCTCACTCAGTTCCTTTCCAAGCAAGGCGAAAATGAACGAGTCCGTGACCTGTTTTTGAAGACTACCAAGATGGACCTTTGTCGATTTCAGATGTTCTTTTTTGTTGTTGCATACTACAGGGGTGCTCAAAAAAAAGAGACACTATGCATGGGGCCCAATCCAGGGCGGAATACGTCGCACCGATTGAAGCAGCAGAAGAATGTGATTGGGTAAATTGTACTAAGAATGTTGTTTGATGAAAAGAAGCAGGAACTCGTGTGGTTCCTATATCGGCATCAAAATATGAAGCCGTCTGCCATTGCGGACGCGCTCAAGACGACTTATGGGATATCGGTCGGCAACAGGCAGATACGCAACTTTCTCAATTAAGTCTCTCACGGACAGATTCCTGGGCATCGTCGCTTAGGATCTGGAAGACCGCTGACTTCCTGTAGTCCCGACAACTCCGCAATGGTCTGCGACGTCGTGGG